TCCACACTGGGGAGAGACCCTACAGCTGCAGCGACTGTGGGAAGAGCTTCAAGCACATGTCAGCCTTGAACCGTCACCAACGAACCCACAACGGGGAGAGACCCTACAGATGTGACGAGTGTGGGAAGAGCTTCGTGCACAGCTCAGCCCTCAACCGCCACAAACACACCCACACCAAGGAGCAACCCTATAAATGTGGTGAGTGTGGGAAAAGCTTCACTTGGAACTCAGATCTTCTTGTCCATCAACGGATCCACACCGGGGAGCAACCTTATAAGTGTAACGAGTGTGGGAAGAGTTATCGATACACCTCGTCGTTGATGAGGCACCAACGTGTTCACACCAGAGAGAAACCCTACAAGTGTGAGGAGTGTGAGAAGTGTTTCCGTTACAACTGCTCCCTCATCAAACACAGATACACCCACCTTGGGGAGAAACCCCATAAATGCCACCATTGTGGCAAGAGTTTCATGTTAAACTCCGAACTTCTCACCCACCAACGTGTCCACGCTGGTGAACGACCTTATAAATGTGGTGAGTGTGAGAAGAGCTTTAGTTGTAGGTCATCCCTCACCAGGCACCACCGGACCCATAACAGACAAAAACCCCATCGATGTGATGATTGTGGGAAGAGTTTCGTGTGGAACTCAGAACTTGTCACCCATCAACGTATCCACACTGGTGAACGACCCTACGAGTGCAGCGATTGTGGGAAGAGCTTCAAGATGAGCTCAGCTCTGCTCCGTCACCAGAACATCCACACTGGGGAGATGCCCTATAAATGTAACGACTGTGGGAAGAGATTCAGGCAAAATTCAGCTTTAATCTGCCACCGACGGATCCACACCGGGGAGAGACCTTATATATGTGGAGATTGTGGGAAGAACTTCAGGTTGAGCTTGACCTTGATCCGTCACCGACGGATCCACACTGGGGAGAGACCCTACAAGTGCATCCAGTGTGGGAAGAGCTTTAGGAAGAGTTCAGCCCTTGTTGCCCATCAACGTATCCACACCGGGGAGAGACCTTATAAATGTACCCACTGTGGGAAGAGCTTCATTGTCAACTCAAAGCTCATGAAACACCAACGGATCCACCTGAGATAGGCACCTCCTGCTGCTCTTACCCCACTACTTTGAGGAGATTGGACCTTCTTTACCTCCAAAACCACCACAAACCTCTTGTTTTATGAAATAAGAAACACCTTTTCCCCCCTCAACCTTTCATGTCCTACTGGAAGCCCTTTTTTTCTCCACTCAGACCCTTTTCTTTCTCCTCAGAACTTCCCTTTCTCCTCAGAACTTCCCTTTCCCCTCAAAACCTCCCATCAATCAAGAGGAAAAGCCAACGAGGTAGATTTTATGGTGGGGGGTCTACTATAGACCACCCAACCATGATGAGGAGGTAGATGAAATATTCTACAAGCAGCTATGGGATGTCTTGGGTTCATGAGCTCTTCTTCTCATGAGGGGGACTTCAACTTGTCAGATGTCTACTGGAAATCCAATGTAGTAGAGAGGAGACAAGTCTCAAGAGGTTCTTGGTGTGTGTGGAAGAGAAATTCTTAATGGAGTTGATGAGGGAGAAGGTGTCCCAGTGGACCTGGTGTTCCTTAACTGGGAAAGACTGGTGTGGTGAAGGTGGTTGGAGTGATCGCTTCATTTGGAGGTGATGGGATCATGAAATAATGAGCAAAAAAAAGTGGTTTATGAGCAAAAAAAACACCCCAAAAATCAAAGTGGGGGGTTGAGCAATGAGGATTTTCCTCAAAATCACTTTTTTTTGCCCAATCTCCCCGTTTTTCTCCCTCTTTTCTATCAAATAAATCCATTTTTCCTTAAACAATTAAATAAATCCCTTTTCCTTCCCCCCCCCCCCTTTTTTTTATCCCTCTTGGCTCAATCTCTTTTTTTTTCCTCATAAAACTAATAAATTTGGGGGGTTTTTGGCTCCAATTCTTCATTTCTCCTCAGGATTGGGGTGCTGGGGTCCTGAAGGATTGGGGTGGCTGAGGTTGGGGTGCCCAGACCTTGAGGGATTGGGGTGCTGGGACCCCAAAAAATCAAGGTGTCTTGGCCTCAAGGGATTGAGGTGCCTGGACCCTGAGGGATTGGGGTGCTGGGACCCCAAAAAATCAAGGTGTCTTGGTCTCAAGGGATTGAGGTGCCCAAACCATGAGGGATTGGGGTGCTGGGACCCCAAAAAATCAAGGTGTCTTGGCCTCAAGGGATTGAGGTGCCTGGACCCTGAGGGATTGGGGTGCTGGGACCCCAAAAAATCAAGGTGTCTTGGTCTCAAGGGATTGAGGTGCCTGGACCCTGAGGGATTGGGGTGCTGGGACCCCAAAAAATCAGGGTGTCTGCATCTCAAGGGGTGAAGTGATCTTGACCTTGAGGAATATGGGGGTGCCCAGACCCCCCAAAAATGGGGGTTACTTGGGATTAAGGTACCTGAGAAGAGGGTGCTGGACCCCCAAAGGATCAGGGTGCCCAATATTGGGGAGTCTGAGCCCCAAAGGATTGGGGTGTCTGGATCCCAAGGGTTCTTGGGATGGGGGTGCCTGGGAACCCCAGAATGGGGTGCTTGGGATGACAATGCTGGGGGTACAATGGATTGGGGTGCCTGATCCTTGAGGGTTTGGAGTATTTGGGCCCCCCAAAAATTGGGGTGCTCAGGATCAGGATGTCTTTGTCACATAGGATTGAGAGATTTGGGTTCCTGGGATTGGGGTGCTTGGACCTCGAAGGAGTGGGGGGTACTTGGGATCAGGGAGCTGGAACCCCAAAA